GTGTGATCAGCTGAATGGTTGGAATCTTGATGAAGCACCAAATACTATGAGCTGTTTAACAATGACATGTATTGGAGCTAAGAAGGCTAAGTATCGCTAAGGTGTTGAGAGTCAGATCGGCAATACCTTTGTGTAAACATGTTTGAGTGGCCATAAATTTCCTAAATTAATTTCTTGAAATTCTTTGATGACTACACTGCCCATCCTTTGTGCGCTCAAAGGCTGGTGAGCTGTTGTTCTCCTAGGCTCAATTGCCAGCAGCTGTTCGGGAACCGGAGCCCGCGCTCCTCCCTCTTCTCGGGGAGGAACGGACCCGAGAGAGCGGCTGAAATCAAGCCTGTGGTTCTCCTTTACACAATGCGTTCTACGACGGCGCACAATTGCAAAACTGTTAACATTGTCCATTTTATCAAGAACATTTCTGCGCATAATCTCACAGGTAGTTAGAGGGCAGATAAAAGACCCGGCATTTTACGGCCGGATTCTGAGTCAAATCGTCTTGTATTTTTAAACGGATTTGTTGAACTGATAAAAGTGTCGCTACTGATCATGGGAACATTCAGTTTTTAATGCAAAATTTAAGCTGCTTTTAATTTTGAAACAACTGATTGGCAAAGTTGGTGTAGGTCAGTCGTCAGTGACTACGTCCCTGACCATGATAAATTTTCGAGCCTCGATCCCAGATTAGCGTGGGATCGAGGTTCAAAAAGCAAAAACAATCAGGTGTTATGACATAATAGCCCTCTTTGGAAAAGAGTGGTAGCCTGGGAACGAAGTCATGCCCCAAGCACTTATGGGATTAATTAGGGGGACGTGGGTAAAAACAAATAGGGCGGAAATTAGCGCGGAATGTAATTGTAGGGATGACAGCAAGATTTCAACAAAAGTAGATGGTAATAAGAAAAATACCAAAAGAATGTACCGTGAAACAGGTGCAGCGATGGCTCCTTTGCCGTGAGCTAAAACAACTGGAAATAAAATGAAGCTCGTTCAAAGGTAGGGTAATTTGAAAACTTCTTATTAGTGCCCCTGTTCTTTTCGTTATGTTGTTGAAGAATATTGTCTGTACCTACTTTGGTATTTTTTTCCGTTGTAGAGTAATGGACAACATGGCTGGTGGCCTAAGCTCCAAGATTAAGGACCCTGATGGTGGAATCCATTTAGCGAAAGCTAAGGCTAGCCTGGGACTCACGGAGGAAATTAACGCTAAGGAACTCAAAGAAAAAAAACCAATGTTTTCCAAGTGGATAGCTGAATTTAACTGATTGAGAACCTCGCTAAAACTTTTTCGACTCCAGTAATATGAAAGACTGTTCCTTTCGATTATTACTATGTCGTGAATAATTGAATTCCTTCACTTTTAAATAAGCCATCCACAGTAAAGATTTCATTAAAGTAAACAATGGGTTTGGAATATCATTTCAGATTTTCTTAGAGATATTTTCTGAATTTGTCCGCATGACTAATAGCAATTGCCTCATGTTGAATCTGGGACAGAACAAAATAGTTTACGATACCCAAATGCTGGGGAAAAGTCTGTTACAATTACCTATATTGTTACAAGCGACAATGTTTCGGAAGTAAGTTCAATAACATGCAAAATTAGCAAATTATTATTATGTATGTCATCAACAGCCTCTCAAGTCTAATCTTGAAAGGCCAAATTTAACACGTGGATAAGCAAGTTCTACAAGAATCTGCTCATCGTAAAATGCCTCAAGTTTTGGAAGCACTGAGCTCCAGAATTCAGGATTAAAGTTCAATGTTGAAATGAAAACACCTTCAGTGTCTACAATTAATCTGTCGAGAAGATCATTAACTCCCTTTACCACCAGATCAACAACTTGACGAAAAGAACAGGCCACTATTAAGAAATTTTCAAATTTCTCTTAAGTTCTCCTACCTTTGAACAAGCTTCATTTTATTTCTAGTTATTTTAGCTCCACGGCAATGGAGCTATCGCTGCAGCTGTTTCACAGTACATTCTTCTGGTATTTTTCGAGGTAAAATTGCTCCAGGTACATCTTCTTCTCTTAGATTAATGCTTTCTGATTTTCTACTTTCGATAACTTTGATCTTATTACCATCTACTTCTGATGAAATCTTGCTGTAATCGGTACAATCACATTCCGCTCTAATTTCCGCCATATTTGTTTTTACCCGCGTCCCCCCAATTAATCCCATAAGTGCTTGAGGCGTGACTTCGTTCCCAGGCTATCACTCTTTTCCAAAGTGGGCTATACACTGTTGATGTGTATACAGAATAGGGTTGGGCCTGGTACGGATCCTTAGGACACTCCA